AGACGGTGGCCGGCGTGGCCGGGGCCGGAGCAGCCGCGGTGCAGGGAATCTAGCGGGGAGGCCGCGGGCGACGAGTCGCCTTGACTATGTAGGAAAGCATATTCTCCAATGAATTTAATTTTACAAAATTAACAAAATCTCGTAACTCTTATGTCATTTGATTCTGCTCGGAGATTCATGTTGATTTTCCTAAGTAAAAAAAAGCAAAGTTTATTGATGGTTAAAACGGTATATCAAATCAAACTAATCACAACAAAGACGAACACCAAAAATCCATGTTAGAACTTAAAGTCACATTATGGTTTGTGAAGTCGTCGTCTCTAGTAAAGTCACATTATGGTTTTCGAAGTCATCGTCTCTAGTTTTACCTTTTACGTCTCGACTTCCCACCATGACTCGCGTGAAAATCCGGAAAATACCGAACATGCACAATCTACAGTAACCTCAAAGTTATTGAATAAACACTTGAGCTAGCCATATTAATAGGTGAGAACCTGATATCATTAAAGAAACCTCTACCTGGGATAGACCCCTTTGCACGACATTCGCGAAACAACTGATTCATCACAATGTTGAAGTTGAGAACCTGATATTTTTTGAAGGAGATTATGTTGAAGTTGGGCTTTCGTCGAGAGTGGGTTAATTTGGTTATGCAATGCGTCACAACTGTAGAATACAAAGTAAGGATTAATGCAGAGGAAAGTGAGAGTTTTCAGCCTACTAGAGGGCTGAGGCAGGGGGCCCGCTATCACCATACCTCTTTCTGCTATGCACAGAAGGGTTGACTGCTTTGCTCTTGCATGCTGAGGAGAATAGGAAAATATCAGGAGTTAAAGTTTGTAGAGACACCCCGTCAGTTACAAATCTTCTCTTTGCGGATGATTCATTGATCTTAATGAAAGCCAACCAACAGAATGCGGCGGCCCTAAAATCAGCACTAGATTTATATTGTGCGACATCTGGACAATTGGTTAGCGTGGAAAAGTCCAGTATTTTCTTTAGCCCTAATGCAAAGGTTGAGATTAGAGAACAAATGTGTACAATGCTGAATATAATGACGGAGGCCTTGAATGCCAAATACTTGGGCTTGCCAGCAAATGTGGGTGTTGATAACACATATTGCTTTAAATTTCTGATTAAACGTATTGTTAAGAAAATTAGTGGTTGGAAGGAAAAGTTACCATCTGTCGGAGGGAAGGAGATCCTACTCAAGGCTGTGATCCAAGCCATACATACCTATGCAATGTTGGTCTTTAAAATTCCTACAAATTTTTGTAATGGAATCATCGACGCGATTGCGCATTTCTGGTGGGGAGACGAGGAGAACCAGAGGAGGACACACTGGATGGCCTGATGGAAAATGTGTGTACCAAAAGTCCAATGAGGAATGGGTTTCTCTGATATCCACTGTTTCAACTTGGCTCTGCTTGCCAAACAGGCATGGCGTCTCCTTGATAATCCTGAATCCTTGTGTGCCACCATTCTAAGGGCCAAGTACTATCCTGATGGCGACTTGCTGAATTCCAAGCCAAAGCATGGTGCTTCCTTCATCTGGCAAAGCATCATGGAAGGCATAACTACTCTGAAACGTGGCTATATTTGGCAAGTGGGGAATGGATATAATATAAATATCTGGGAAGATGCCTGGATCCCAAATTGTGCCACTTGGAAGATTGTGACTCCTAAGGGGGGACAATTGTTATTAAAAGTGGTGGATTTGATTGACTCCATTTCCAATAATTGGGATGAGGACCTGATTAGGCAAAATATGTGGCCCATTGACGCACAACAGATTCTTTCAATCCCAATTTCACAACATAATATGACAGATTTCATTGCTTGGAGTTATACAAAAAATGGTATGTTCTCGGTACGGCCTACTTACTCTGTGGAGTGGAACTATCAGTATGGGAGTCAACTAAAACACTCTAATGGGACGGGGCGAACCACATCTAACCATATATGGTGTCAGATATGGAAGTTATCATGTCCGGCAAAAGTCAAAATTTTTATATGGCGTACGTTGCATGGCACTCTCCCAGGTTGGGTAACACTCACTAATAGACACATGAAGGTTTCGCCCTTGTGCCCTACTTGCTCTCAGGATGTAGAAGACACGAAACACATACTTTTTCTATGTACTAAAGCAAAGGAGGTCTGGAAGAGATTAGGGATGGAGGACATTATTGATAGAGCTTGTGAGGTTGATCGTGCTGGAGAGGCGATATTGGAATACCTTTTACTTCTTCCAGAGCAAGATCTGCGTATTATGGGGTACCAAAATATACGAGAAATGATAGCTATTTCAGCTTGGTATCTATGGTGGGAGAGACGGAAATTAGTGCACAAGGAAGTAACTCAGAATACAACTCAGATATCAATGGGGATCACAACCCTTACATACAATTTTGTGAATGCATCATCTTCAAAGGCGTCCATAAAAAAGGGGGTTGGCTTTGTCCTCCTAGGGATTTCATGAAACTCAATGTTGACGCCTCTTTTGATCATGACATGCTGAAGGGTATGATGGGGGCAGTCTTGCGAGACGACAATGTAGGTTTATTGCAGGAGGAAACGGAAAGATCGACCATTGCACGGATGTTCTCATGGCAGAAGCATTAGCTCTTAAATTTGGACTAACAGTAGCACAAAGGGCGGGGTGCAACCGATTAATCATCAACTCAGATAATCTGGATGTGATTGAGAGCATGCAGGACGGAGGACAATCAACGAGTGCGGCGGCGGCAATTTTTGATGACTGCTTGCACTACACATGTGATTTTATCATGACTAGATCTGAACACTGTAATAGAGAGGCAAATAAAGCATCACATGAACTTGCTAGATTAGCTAGATTTTCTTCAACTTCGGATTGATTTGAGGACCTCTAAATGAAATTGTAATGATCCTCACAAACGATGTACTGATTATTTCTAGTGAATAAAGTTTCGTTTTAACTCAAAAAAACTGATTCACTGCAATATTATCAATGAAGAAGATCAAAATCAAATGAGAGAACCACTTGCCAAAACTCATTTGACACCATCATTGCCGCCAAGAAAGGCCTAAGCAGAGGATGAAAATCCAAATGATTTGAGATCGTCAATTAGTGGGACGAAACACCACGTGCTTTCTAGTGCTTGCAGTGTTGGGGGTAAAACTAATAGCCGTGTGACTTTATATGCATGACATCGCTTTCATCGTTGTGACACCGTAGTCAAAGACACACAAACCTAGCATTGGAAAAGCTGAAATTGCATTTCAACGTGCATCCCTGGGTTCTCTTGACCTCCTGTGGTGGCTTAGAGGCCATAAGACAAAGGAAACTAACGAACACAAGCGAAAAAGAACGAAGAATAGCTCTTTTTTTTTGCGGAAACTGTCGATCTATTCATCTTCAATCATGGTAGTACAATGAACATCAGAAATAATAAAAATTACATCCAGATTCATAGACCACCTAGCAACGACTACAAGCACTGAAGCGAGCCGAAGGCACGCCGCCGTCATCGTCCCTCCCTCGCCGGAGCTGGGCACAGCTTGTTGTAGTAGAAAGTCAGGAAGTCGTCGTGCTAAGGTCCCACAGGACCAACGCTCCAGAATAACAACTGCCGCCGATGAAGAGAATTTTTGATCGGAAGGATCCAACCTGAAGACACATGAACAAAGACGAATAAAGGCCGGATCCGAGCGGATCCACCAAAGACAACCACCGACCAAATCCCGCGAGATCCGCCGGAAACACACCTCCACACGCCCTTCAATGATGCTAGACACACCATTGAAGAATAACTCTTTGACGGCTAGGTTCAGCACAAAAGATAATCCAACATCGTAGGAATGAGAAAATCTCCCACGTTCTAGTTTAGAACCTAGCATGATGCTTCGAGGTTTGGATGATGTACGGTAATTTATTTTGTTTTCTCTGTATATACAATGAGAAGCCGGCATGAACTATGCTGACCTGGTCTTTTGCAACCGGAGCTACTCCTTTTTTTCTTTGCGGCAACCGGAGCTACCCCTTAATTTTCTTCCAAACAATAAACTACATTAATTGGACTTCATTTGACCAAAGTCTTACTACAACAGATTAGCAGCTTGGAAACAAAATTAGGCACAATCCAAACGAAGTAAACAAATTAGGCACAACTCGTAGCAAAGATCCATTGGTATTTTTATTTTTGACGGGAAGATCCATTGGTGCTAACAAACCACAAGTGACCAAGTGGCAAATGCTAGACCATGCTTAGCTAAGCGAGGCCTCACTTAATTGTGTTTTTTTTTCTTCATTGTGCTCTTTCCGTGCATGACTTGTTTATCTTGCGTAAACGGTCTCGGCGTACCATATTATTTCTTTCTATTAATACAAAGATACGCAATCAACATTGCGTATATTCAAGAAAGATCGATGATAGATATCATTTGAGACACGGGACACAGTTGTGCGTCCAAATTAATGAGAATTCAGTCAGTATACACCTAGCCAAATTTCGGGAATACACGAAACACACCCCGAAGTTTCGCTCGAGTTAGCTTAGAGTTCCCGATTGCCAATCTCTGTGCGTTTAAGTCCACAGATTTTCCCAAAATCTTTATTCCGGCACTGCGAAATACACAACACATTTTGATTGATTCATGATTTTTTTTTACTCTTGTTTTCCCAAACGAGGGAAACGAGCTGCAAAAGCCAGAAATAGTCTTGAAAAGAAAAAAGCTCCCATTTTTAGTCGCCGAATCCCCTAGCGATATATGGAGTCCACACCCTCAAAGTCTTCCTATTTCCACTCCCCACCCTCGCCACCACCTCAAAAAAGGAAAACACCAACCCGCTCGTGAGCGCCACCACCACCATTTGGAGGAGAAGGAACAGCGCCCCTCTCCTCTTCCACCGATTTCTTCCCCCCAATCCACCCGCGATCGCGCCTCCCCCTGTCGCCGCCTCCTCCCGGGCGTTCCAGCCGTGTTCGGGTCGCCGGGTTCGGTGCTGACCCGGGGCTTCTATGGCGTCGCCGGAGCGGGAGGCGGTGGCGGCGACAGCCATCGTGGAGGACGTGCTGAGGATGCACGGGGAAGGATTAGGGGCAGGAGGGGGTGTAGGTCAAGTGCTGGTGATGGGGAGGAACATTGACATGGCCTGGCGCAAGGCCGAGGTGGCCGGTGAGTTGTGGGCTCCTTCCCTTCTTCATTAGGGGCTTATAATTTTTTGATTTCGTGAAATCTTATGCTAGTTGATTGATGATGCTTGGACCGGGGTACATCTCAACCAAGGATTGAATTACTCTTTTAGTCCATACGTTTAGTGTTTTCTTTCTGGGCTGGAGCTTAGATTGTGCTCAAACAGTGCCAATGCCTATATATATGGGCATGGCAGTAAACCACACCTTTAGCCGACATCTAATGAAGAATTACAGTCTTTTGCATGTTCATCACAACGAATTCATCTTAATTTGTTACCGGCAAGTGGAGGAAAGAATTAGAAGAAAACCTTGTTCGATAATAAGATGATCGGATGACACCCCCAACGCAATGATGTTAGACCATGCTTCAGTAACTTTTTCCTGCACTCTCAGTGATGATAGCTGAAACTATCTATCCAGTTGAATTTCGCATTCATGATCTAGCTGTACCATCTATCCAATTGACGACAAAATGTAATCTCATTAAGTCAACAAAGTGTTTAATGTGTTGTGTACCAGTATTTCAGAATTCAAGCATCATCCTGTCAGTAACTATTAATCTGAACACCTAAATTCTACAGCTAACGCAGTGTCGTCGCTAGCATATCTGAATTGGTTAAAAAATTTGCTTGTTTCGGGTTGATAAATGCAGCAGTAAGAAGGAATGAAGCAGCCAGCTGGTTGAGAAGGACAGTAGGGGTAGTCTGCGCCAAGAACCTTGCCGAAGAACCATCTGAGGAGGAATTCCGGGTTGGCCTGAGGAATGGCATCATTCTTTGCAATGCAGTCAACAAGATTCAGCCTGGCACCGTGCCGAAGGTTGCATTCGTCCCTTTCAAATCTTTAAAATTTCAAGTTCCCTTTTGGTGATTTTGCATGCTGAGCGTGATGATTCTAGGTTGTGGAGGTCCACTCGGTTTCTACTATCCCTTCAGATGGTTCAGCTCTCTGTGCATACCAGTACTTCGAAAACGTGAGGAATTTCCTCACAGGCCTACAAGATTTAGGTCTCCCAACATTTGAGGTGTCCGACCTGGAAAAGGTGACACCATCATTTTCAGTTAAATCTAGACGTCTACGGCTAATCCCCTTGGGAGTACAGTTTTGCAGTGTTAACTCCTGCCTCATACTGCACTTTCAATGGAATGTTGCTTCAGCTTGTGCAAAAAACATGCATTGTGTTTCTTTCGCCACAGTGAACTTAATTAATTCATCTTAAACTCAACTATAGGGTGGACAAGGGGTCCGAGTTGTAGACTGTGTTCTTGCCCTCAAGTCATTTGCTGAAACTAAGCAACTCGGCAAACAATCTTTGTTTAAACATGGCGGCATTGTAAAGCCTTCAATGTCCGCAAAATGCTCTGTTCGTAAGAACGAACCTTTTATGAAGGCGATGACGAGGAGTCACTCAGCTGAGCTACTCCGGGATGGCGTATCACTGGAGCAAACTTTAGGTCTTGATTGTTTTCTAGAACCCGCTGAAACAGTAAGTACCTATTCATTCAAAGAAAGAATAGTTAGTAGTCTATATATTTGCGGCTCTTACTTCAAACTAGGTGATTTTCTTTACTCTGAAATTATATTTGTTATATTCGCGATTGTAGATAACTTCAGACTCCATCAGAATGCTTGTTCAAACAATTCTATCAGATAAGAAACCAGAAGAAGTTCCATTGGTGAGCCTACTGGATAATTTACTTTTTATGCAACGTGATTCACGAGGATCAATTTTTGTATAAGGGGCTCTGCTAATTTGCAGCTTGTAGAATCACTCTTGAGCAAGGTTATTCATGAATTTGAGCGTCGTATGGCAAACCAGAATGATTTGGTATGTTCACATATTTCAGTTTGTTCTGATGACCTTGTAGTTGTGGTTATGCTACCTCATGCGCTGCTGGACTAATAGAGAACTCTTAATAGGTGAAATACACTGTAGATCCTAATGACAGTAGCTCATTATCTAAAACAGAGTCATCAGACACACCACAGGAAATGGAGGCAACTTCCACCAGCGATCATGGGAAGGTATCTATGGCTACAGCTTATCATTATCTTGACATTTCTAACATACTGTTGAAATGAAATTTATTCCCTTTTCCATGGCTGAAATGGATAAATAACCAAGTATTTTTCATTGACTCGCTAATAATGTAAAGATGGACGAAGAAGATCACGAGTCTGTCACTAATCATGTGAAGACGGACGAAGAAGACAACAGTTCTGTCACTAACAACGAGAAGATGGACGACGAAGATCACAATTCTGTGGGTAGTACGGGAGATGTCAGTGCTGCTGTGCTGGTGAACGGTGATAGCGTGGCAAAAGATATACAGGCAAAGGCAGATATACATTTTGAGCTACAAAAGAAACAGATCCAGGTATTTTGTAAAGTTCAAGCTTCTTTTCTGATTTCTGTTACTTTGCATTTCCACCATCTTCCTCTGGGTGTTGATGTTTTCTGTAGGATATGAAAAGTAACCTTTGTACTGTTAAGTCTGGGATAGAGCAGTTCAAATTGCAATACTCTGAAGACCTTGCTAAGCTTGGTAAACCAAATCCTGAGTTTTGGGCGTTTATAATATTTTATACATTTTTCTTCGAAATCATTGAAGCCATCTTATGTTCTTTCTTGTTGAAATAGGAAATCATCTGCGCACTATTTCTCATGCGGCTTCTGGGTATCATAAAGTTCTTGAGGAAAACCGTAAGCTGTACAACCAAATACAGGATCTTAGAGGTACTATTGTTTGAGTCATACAAAATGAGGTCTTCATGATTGCAGACACATCCTTCATGGTGCAACGCTGCATACTGATACTTCATTTTGTCCTTTGTCACCAGGAAATATTAGAGTGTACTGTCGAGTGAGACCTTTCCTGCCTGGAAAGGTAAGTTCCTCAAGCAGTGTTGCTGGCATAGAAGATAGAACTATCACTCTCATGACTTCATCGAAACAAGGAAAAGATGCGCGGAAATCTTTTACTTTCAATAGGGTCTTTGGGCCCTTAGCCACACAAGGTTGTACCTGCAAGTTGTTCTACCGTGTTATTTCTTTTATATAGTAGTAGTATCTTTGGCAATCAAATGACATGCATACTTTCATTACTTCAGCGGAGATCTTCGTTGACATGCAGCCTTTAGTCCGTTCTGTTCTTGATGGTTACAACATATGTATATTTGCGTATGGCCAAACTGGGTCAGGGAAGACCTTTACAATGGTACACAATTTTCCCATCTTTGTGGTAATTTTAGTTTCATTGCAAAATCAAAACAATATTTTTGTGATGTTGCAGAGCGGTCCTAAAATACTGACAGAAGAAGGGCTTGGTGTCAATTATAGGGCTTTAAATGATCTGTTCGATATTCAAGCACAGAGGAGGGACACATTTTGTTATGAAATTTCTGTGCAGATGATGGAGATCTACAATGAACAAGTGAGAGATCTTCTTCACAGTGGTCCAAACAAGAAATATCCTTTGCTGCTGAATTAGATACTGATAATGTCAGACTGTCAGTAGTCATCGTTATCCTAATACAAAAAAGAATCTCCTTTTTTTGACGATATACTTGATCTCCTTAACATCAATCAACATTAGAGATTCGAAATAGCTCTCAGAATGGCATTGCAGTTCCAGATGCAAACAGAGTTCCGGTCGCGTCGACCTCCGATGTGGTTGATTTGATGAATCTTGGTCAAAAGAACCGTGCAGTTTGCTCAACGGCTATGAATGACAGAAGTAGTCGCTCCCATAGGTAATGCTTGATTTTTCAATGTTGCCTTTCATGCCAACGTGGTGTTTTAGCTGATGGTAGAGAAATGCACTTTACAGTTGTGTAACAGTCCATGTTCAAGGGCAAGATTTAACATCAGGCACGGTGCTAAGAGGCTGCATGCATCTTGTGGATTTAGCTGGTAGCGAAAGAGTCGATAAATCCGAGGTTGTGGGAGACAGGCTGAAGGAGGCACAACACATAAACAAGTCACTGGCAGCACTAGGGGATGTCATCGCGTCCCTCGCCCAGAAAAGTGCGCATGTTCCTTACCGGAATAGCAAACTTACTCAGTTACTGCAGGACTCTCTTGGTATCTCTAAAACTCGACATCCTTAATTTGCACCTTCTCGGAGCCGAATATATACATATATAATACTAGTAATATGTGTGCTATTCTCAGGAGGACAAGCAAAAACATTGATGTTTGTTCACATAGCCCCCGAACCGGATGCCATTGGTGAATCAATAAGCACTTTGAAGTTTGCTGAGAGAGTTGCCACTGTTGAGCTTGGAGCAGCCAAGACAAACAAGGAAGGAGGAGAAGTCAAAGAGCTCAAAGAACAGGTTAATTTAGTTACCAGCCTCCTCTTTGTTACTGTCATAAGGACTAGCTTTAGGTGGCTCTAAAGCAACTTCTGCTCATGTTTCTCTTACTGCAGATTGCTTGCCTCAGGGCAGCTTTGGCTAGCAAAGATGGAGAAAATGAAAGCATACGAAGTACACATTCGAGCCCAGATATATTAAAAGACATTAGGATCAGTCATGCATCCCCAGAATCCGGGCACCCAGGGGAAGAAGCTGGATGTCTAGAGGTATTCATTTTCCAAGCTGAAATTCATAGCACAACTTTTTCTTGATCAATTTTTTTAATGCAAAGCTGCAAAAATAGTTCTACTAGCCACAGATCCCATTGGACTCATATACTCGGATGATTTTTCTTTGCCTGAAAGTTTGGTGTGTTTACTAGTCTATCTAGTGAACATACATATATACTCCCTCCGTCCCATAATATAAGAACGTTTTTGCCACTAGTGTAGTGGCAAAAACGTTTTTATATTATGGGACGGAGGGAGTATCTTGTAGCATGTATTATATGAGGGTAAAGGCATTCTGTTTTACAAAAATGAAGTTATAGAGATACTTGACTGCATTTGCCGAACAACTTTAAATACAACGTGAGCATCAACAGAGCTAGCACACAGTATAATCAATCTAATTTTCTACATTGTAATATGAAAGGTCCGAAGCAATGGTACTCCCACAAGGCAGACCAAGCCAAACTTCGAATTGTCAGACATGCTTGTCGAGAGCGATCCATCTTTGTGGCTTGATGGTTGTAATGGCGACAATACCCGGTTGAGGAGCATTAATTCATTACCAGAATTGGGACCTGATGCTACACATGATCTAGCATTGTATCAACGAAGCAGTCTTGACCAACAATGGAGTCGGGCCGGGTCTATCGCGACAGAGGATTCAGATGAAGGCGAATTTGAAACTACTTGCTCATCAGAACAAGATTCAGTGCGGCCAGCCAGCGCCCCAGAAGCTTCTGTTACTGCCAATGGGGGCGCCTCAGTTGCAAAGAAGGCCCAACCCAAAAGTGTAAAAAGTACAGACATCAGGTAAGTTCAATTACTAACTATTGAATTTCTCTAGCAAAGTTTGTGCACTGCTGTTGTGAGTTACACTGGTTTTGAATCTCTTTCAGAGGGACAAATCCTGCGAAAAGGACATCTCCGTTACCGAAAAAGGCTAATGGAACGGCTCATATCCCAATCAAGAATGGTAAACAATCAACTTTGGGTGGGGTGGATGGAAAGAAAACTCCAAATGGTAAAGTGAACACCAAGAAGTAAGCAATACATATAGGAGGAGCTGGATTTTGTTGCGACCACCTTTACGATGGCCAGAGATAGCTAGACAAATATGCCGGCCCTACTGAAGGATAATCGGGCAGCTAGATATGCTGGCCTCTGGAAAGGGTTACTGGATTTTGAGTGATGCGTACATTGATTAATCATTTATCCATCCATCCATTCATTCATTCCATTAGTGCAAATAGAGAAGATGCCCAGAGAAACAATGAGGTCGAGAGAAATGATCAACAAGGAGGACTTGTTTTGGATATGTATACCTATGGAGGCTGGGTAATTTTCTATGTACATTGTAGTCATGTCATGAGCTATAGCAACACCTTTGTGATCAGTTACTTGTAATCATGAGCGATGTTCCCAGTTGTTTGAGTTGCACATCAGTTGGGTATTTCAACCTTTTCCCCGGTGTGTTTGCTAATTTTATCTGCACTTTATTTAAAAATTGACCAACAGGGGACTACCCCTGAGGCATTTGGAATTAACATAAGAAGAAGCAACCCAGGCACACACCCTTGGGCCCCGCTTGGAATCGGTGTATCTTTTTATGTTCCCTTATTTATTTTACAGGTGTATACCACCGGCCACACTTGATTTCCACCTGGAAAAAGAACGACGAATGGAGGCTTGTATGTTTTACAGGGGTATAGCGTTGCGAAACGACAATCCAATCACGGCATTGGTGAGAAAGATGTATGTTGGCCAGAATCTAATTCAAGATAATTGCTCAAGACAAAAACAAGGCATACAATGAAGAGTACCCACGCTGATGTGCAAAATTTGCATGATTGCATCCCATGCATACAAAGCATCTCCACCGGCTCCCTTTCTCCAATAAAATCCCGGTATTGGAGGAGTTAGGCCATAAAAACTGCTCCCACAGGTCCTCTTTCCCCAATAAATTGTTGGTGACATCTGCAAATGATGGCGGCGTCTCTAACATCGTTTTCTTCTCAAGACATCATTGTTGTAGGTCGCGTCACCACGCTTGGAATGTTCTGGGGGAAACTCTATATACGGGTCTCCCGAATCAGACAACGGCGACGCGTTGGGTGTTGTTCTCTCTTCTGGGAGCATCGTTTTGGAGTAGGAGCTGGCTGGAGTAGACAAAAGGAGGAGCGGTGTTACATCTATCGCAAGGCGGACAACGAATCTTGGCAGCGTGGCACAACAGAGTTCGGCGACATGCGCGTGTGGATGGACACTCGCAGGATGGTGGCACTGTCTGACTTGCAGTGACATCGACGGCAGAATGGCCTGATAAGGTGAATGTGTTGATCGTTTTTTAAGGTGGGACGACGGAAGATGGTGGTGGCTGATTCTAGAGCGTGTGCATGCGATGCACGCAGAGGGTCTAGCTAGACCGGTGGTGCTCCCGGCTTGCCGGCGAGCGGCTTGGTGAGGCCATCGGAATAGATGGTTTGTGTTGATGCGAGGTCAGGGCATATCATCAAGTTTATAGGAGTAGCAACAATAGTTGTCAGAAAAATGGCTTTGGGTTGATCGATGTATTTGTTTTCTTCGGTTCCGTTGAATAATACTCCATACAATATAATGGACATCAGAGATCGGGTACCCTTCTTTTTTGGAAGAAGTAAATTTATGGGTGATCATCAAGAAAATAAGAGTGGCAAAAGTGATACTCCCTCTGTAAAGAAATATAAGAGTGTTTAGATCACTTTTTTAGTGATCTAAATTTTCTTATTTATTTTACGGAGGGAGTATATTGTTAAAAGTTATATATAAGAGTGACAAAAGTAAAATAGAGTGATCTCGTCGGGCGGCCGACGCTACGATCAGGGTGGGGCGGGTTGGCAGGCCCTCGACTGAGCTCTGGGCTTGGCCGGACAATCTACCCAGCCGCCGCAGAGTGACTCGACGGATGGACCGAATTGTGACAGACGGCTCTTGGCGATGCGATGAATTCTCACCTGCCATGTGGTGCGCGATTGGAATTCATCCGTCGTTCAGGCGAAGAGTATTTTTTTTTGAAGTGCCAGCCAAGGCTGGGATTTCATTGATTAAGCAGGAGTAGTGGAAAAGTGACAAATGTGGTGATCCAGGGATCAAGGAGATAAGAAAAAGAAAAAAAAGGAAAGGAGGTGCCAACTGCACCATAGCCTAGGCTACAATCTCGGATCCCCGAAGGGGCTCTGGAGGGATTTGACCCTGCTCCGTTGTCACAGGCTAAGCTCCCTCCTAATGTCGTCCAACACGTCTTGCACCCTTGCCTCCGTTCTCCTGAAGACGCAGTGGTTTCGTTGCTGCCAGATTTTCCACGGAGCAAGCATTATCAAGGCTTTTGTTCCTTTGATGATTGCTAGCTGTGATGCTGAGATCATGGTAGCCACCTTCTCAAGTGAGCTCTTGTCGCTGGTTTCGCTGGCGTGGCTTAGGCCCTGACAGTGTTTCCACGAGGAAAGTGCGGCCTAGATTGTCCTCGTGAAGGTGCAGTTCCAGAATAAGTGCGCAGAGCTCTCGAGGCTTCTAAGGCGTAGTTGGCAGAAGTAATCGTTTGACCAACCTCTCCGCTGAAGGCGATCATTGCATCACAACCTATTTTGATGGAGCAGCCAAGCAAAAATCTTGAGCTTCGCCGGAGCCCAAGTACCCCAGATCATGTCTTGATACAAACCCATCGTTGATCCCAGCTGCAATGCGTAAGCGGAGTGGGAGCTGTACTGTCCTGATCCATTGAAATTCCAGCGAATCTTATCTTGGTCTTCGTCTTGCAGGGATAGTTGCTAGCTCTGGACAAGGCGATGAAGGTTCAGAACCTCGCTGACCAGGGCGTTGGTGTTGCCATGTGCCAGGTCCAAGATCCAACGATTGTCAGCAATAGCTTGAGCCACTGTTTGGCCCTTACGTCTTGAGTCCTTGAAGAGCGTTGGGAAACTGATCTTGAGCGGCACCGCTCCTAGCCATGAGCTGTGCCAGAAGCTCGCCGTCCTGCCGTTGCCAATGGTCACTGTCATCGCGGCATTGAAGAGGGCGTGGTCCGAGGCTTCGCATGGGGGCTCCGTTCCTACCCAGGGCCGAGAGGGGCTTTTCCAGCTGAGCCATAACCATCGCAGCCGGAGCGCATGACTGAACTTCGAAAGGTTCGGAACGCCGAGCCATGTGTGTTCGATCAGTGAGCAAACCCTTTCCCAGTTGACCTTGCAGCTGCCACCTGAGAGTTCTTGATCTTTTCCCCACAGAAAGCGTCGTCTACACTTATCAATTTTCTTCAGGAGCTTCTTTGGAACCCGAAGTGTAGTGAGGGCGGAAGTGGGCAGGGCGGAGAGGACGCAGCGAACAAGGACACGCCTGCATGCTATGGAGAGCATACACCCCTTCCAGCCCGCAAGCCGTGCACGGACACGGTCGAGGATGAATTGTAGGTGTACAAGGCGTAGCCGGCCTGTGGTAAGTGGAAGACCTAGGTACCTAATCGGAAAATGAGCGATCGGACCGCGAAAAGCTTGAAGAACTAAGCCCAGGTCGATGTTGTTGCACTAGATCGGCGTAGCCGTAGACTTGGTGAGGTTTATCCGTAGGCCCGAGGCGTCACCGAAACTTTGAAGGATGCGCATCAGGTGGTCGATTTCCTCCTTGTCGGGGTTGGCGAAGATTATTGTGTCATCGGCGTATAGGCTAACCCCGAGCTTGATCTCTCTCCTTGTCACAGGCATGATCTCGAGCGCGTCCTCGGCGGCTTGAAGAAGACGATGGATGGAGTCGATTGCAATGATGAAGAGGAGGAGGGACAGAGGGTCGCCCTAGGGCAGTCCTTGGTGGTGCACAATCTTTGCGCCGGGTGATCCATTTAGCAGGAAGGCCGAGGAAGAGGTGGCGAGCAGCAGCGTGATCCAATCCCTCCAACGAGTGATAAACCCTAGCATCGTCAACATCTCAAGGAGGTACTCCCAGGATACATTGTAGAAACCCTGGAGATATCAAGTTTGAGGAGGACGGCCGGTGTATTTCTATGGTGCAGGCTCTTGGCGCAGTTTTGGACGTAGAAGAAGCTGTCGTGCAGGCATCTAGTCTTCAGGAATGCCGTCTGGGCTGGCGAGATGATGGATTGCACTACTGTTGTGAGGCGTATGGAGAGGATCTTGGAGATCAGCTTGGCTATAGAGTGGATCAGGCTGATCGGTCTGAAATCACTGATGCAGTCAACTCCTTCTTTCTTGGGGATCAGCGCGACGACCGCCGAGTTTAAGTCCCCAAAGTTCTGTCCAGCCAGGTGGTAGAACTGATGGAAAGCTTGCATGATATCATCTTTAATAACACTTCAACGTGATCTAAAGAACACGCCACGGAAACTGTCCGGCCCTGGCGATTTTTCAGCTGGCGAGGCCCTGATCGCAGCCCAGACCTCCTCTTCTATGAAAGGGTTGTCCAGTCCTCCTCTCTGGATCGTTGGCATGTGGAGCTGAGCCCAGTTGATGGTCGTGGGTCGGTGCTGAGGGGTGCCCAAAATACTGTTGAAATGGTCGTGGATTGCCTTTTCCTTCTCAGCATGTGCCGTCAAAACATCTTCTCCGACCTTTAGGGCATGTATGAAGTTTTTGTGCCTTCTAGAGCTGATCTTGGCCATGAAGAACTTCGTTGGGGTGTCGCCCACGCGCAGCCAGGTGAGGCGGGAGGCCTGCCTCTTCCTGCAAGGCTCGATCACATCAAGGCCAAGAAGCTTGGTCTTCAGTCCTTTCCTGAGCTCCGACTCAGCCACCGTGAGATGCCGTCGTTCTTGGGCCACATCGAGGCGATTACCTCACATGCAATGTGGAATTGGAGCTTTGTGTCCCTTATTAGATTTCTACTCCAAATCCGGAGATCCTTGGCTGTTCTGCTCATCTTGATGCAGAGATGGGAGAAAGCGCATGTTGAGGCCATCGGGCGTGTCCAGGCAGCAATGACCGTGTCGAGGAAGCGCGAGAACCACGACTAGAAGGATTCAAATTTCAAACCTCGCGGCCGTCGAGGTCCCGTTGCATCAG